TGTGCACCAAAGTCCCTATATATCTTTCTATTTGCTCGAAATTTGGCATGGCGAACTACGTCCGGAATGATGTGTGTGTGTAAAGTTTCATGAAATCGGTACAGATTTAGATATAGCTCCCATATATTTTTTCGTCCGATTTATTGTAAAATGTGTGCCAAAGTCCCTATATATCTTTCAATTTACACGAAATTTTGCATAGTGTACTGAATTGAGTCTGGAATGATGAGTGGTATGTTTCGATAAAATCAGGCAAGATTTAGATATAGCTCTTATATATATTTTCGTACGATTTAAGGTAAATGGGGCACAAAAGTCCCTATATATATTTCGATTTACACGAAGTTAGGTATAGGGTACTGAATTAGGTCCAGAATGATGTGTGCTAAGTTTCGTGAAAATCCGTTTAGATTTAGATATAGTTCCCATATATACTTTTGTCCGATTTTATGTAAATGGTGCACTAAAGTCCCTATATATCATTCGATTTGCATGAAATTTGGCATAGCCTATTGAATTAAGTTTAGAATTGTGTGTGCTAAGTTTCGTGAAAATCGGTTCAGATTTCGATATAGCTTCCATATATAGTTTCGCCCGATTTTAGGTAAATGGTGCATCAAAGCCCCTGAAGGTTCAACAGTGAGTCTGTTCTCTTGATTGACAGAGTCGGCCAGATAGATCATGACACTTTGCTCAAAGGTTCGTTGTGCTAGAGTTCATTCCGATAAAGATGACATATGGGTGGTTTCAAAGCTCCGATATAGATGACATATGGGTGGTTTCATTGAGCAATCGATTGTTAGATCTGTAGATTAAGATCCTCGTCGAGCTAATTCGTCAACGATCTCTGCATCCAGACTTTTTATCAATTCCGCTGCCTTCCAAATAGCTTTCAGCTTGGAAAACACTACAGTTGCTATCCAGCTTGGAGGTAATCTCAAGACCTAGCCTTTCACAGTAGACGCCAGCCCCTGTACCTTTATCCATCTTGGATCCGTCTGTATAAAAAGCCACACCGTCCAGAGGAGGGTTGCTACAGTTCTAGTCGTCTCTACTAGGATAACGAAATCTATATCGTCAAATCTCAGGACTGGTGATATATAGTCGCTTAGTTTTACGCGTTGGTCCAATGTCATACCTAGTTCGTTCAGGATACATCCATGTCCGTAGGTACAATTTCGCCATAGATTTTGTTCATCCGAGTAAAGCTAGTCATATTAGCCGTGCATCCATTAACCTAACCTCGAGGTGCAAATTGACAACAAAAATGGGTTATTTTAGGTCTAAAAATTTTACCCCGAAGCCTCTTCCGCAGATGTACAAAATAAATCCACATATACACAAGTTGTGGTTACTTCCTCGAAAGATGGGTAGTGTGCATAAAGTCGGATTGGGCCTTGCCTACTTGTTTTCTCTCTTTATTTCTGTTACTCTTTATAATCAAACAGTACTTGATTCGTTTCGTTACCAAATAATAAAGCTTTTTGCTATTATTGTGTGACGTCGTACAAATTGAAAGTAATTTTGGGCAGAATGCCAAGTAATCGAAGCGAAAATAATGACAAGATTGGAAGTGTAATTTGAGAAATAAATGTGGGTAGTTTGCGAAGCGCTAATGAAGATAATGTCCAATGAATAATAGAATAGATAGAATAATAGGCTTTAAAAAAGTTTTAAGATTTTCTACAGGAAATTATGTCACAGAAATAATTGTGATAGGTATGAAAAAAAGGGACTTTCTATTCTAATTGGCTTATCTCCATAACATAACATGAAACCCACCTGCCACAATTTGTAGGCATCAATATAAGTCAAAACAAAACAAAAACTGCTCATTAATTAAAAAACGTATCCATCCACAAGTCAAAATAGTCAGCCACCCACTTGAGTATTGAACAATTTAATTTGTTTCTTAGAAATTCCAACCACACACGCAAATTCCTCTCACTTGTCGGCGACGCCTCTTTCCCTGCACTTCAGAAGTTTGCACATTTGTTGAATACTACACATAAATTATTGATTGATTTTTGCCTATGATGATGATGTGGTCACCTACAATTTTCAATAACTCCATTAGATTTGACCCTCAACCTTAGCTTTAGTCCAATGACCACACAAGGTATTTTATGACGATTGCGTGTATGTCCTCTTTACAAAAAAGCAATTAACGGGCTACACCATGGCGTTTATTGTGCATTGTTCTAAAACAATTTTTTCGACTTTTTCTCATCTAACACATTTCACATTAAATATTAAAATTACATGTGTTCTCCACGGTAACAGCAACAGTGGAATCAACAATTTAATTATATAAAAAAGAACAGCACAAACACAAAAATTTATATTGTGTGAATTTACAACTGAAAATACATACTTGTTGATGTCTCTCTATGTTGAGATTGGGTAAAATGTTAAGTGGTGGGTGTTGTACTTGTGTAATTGTTTTTAATGAAATAACAGGATACTACAAATACGTATATTCTACTTTAAGTAGGTCACGTTAAAAATAGAATGAGGAGGAAACTCTCTCTAATTGTTTGTCGATTACATGGGAGTGACAAAAAGACAAACGGAATTCAGTCGTTTTATTTTTCATTTAGAATGTGAGGGTAAGAATTTATCCACAAAGATGGACTAGGAGTTGCAATGCGGAGGCCTGGTGGCCGATTGCATCATTCTGGAGGCTAAATGTATAAGTATGCGTAAAGTGGAAGTTAGAAAACCCCGAAAGGGATCTAAAGATATGCAAATATTTGATTTTTAGAAAAATGAACGAATATTAAGTTATTAAAAAATCTCAGATCTCATAATCGATTAACATGGGTGTGAAAGGGATGTCGCTTCAATCCTAATTTCAATTCGGGGATTTTGGAAGTATCACACTATTAACTATAGAGACTAGAATAGTAATGAAAACCAAACTGTGCTGACACTTTAGCCACTATTTATATAGAAGAAGTCCAACAAGCCGGTTACATAAATTAATCGCTCCGGTATAACTTCTTGTCGGCAGCTTCTTTAGCATTAGCACATTTGGTTGTTGATGAGAGGCATCAGCTTACCACCTGTCGGAGTAGATTCGGGTTTCCCTTCTCGCTGACTGTATATTGGATTCCTAAACTCGGGAGAATAAGTCGTGCGAAGAAATCTCCGTCCTGGCCGCGCCTATAAACTAAAAATATTGGAGCAATCTAAGTGAATCCAAAAATCTTGATGACACTTTCTGGACCATTTTTAAAAATAAAACGTTGCTGGCGACATACAAATACATCGGTATTTTGTGATTAATAATACTGCTCCAGTCTGACTATCCTTTCTGTATGATATACCTCAAATTTCAACAGATTCGGAATTCATTATGAACGGAATGCTATCCACTGCATGGAACGTGAGTGTCCATGATAGGATAATTCCATTCTGGATGCGAAAAGTTGACATTTTGTGTTTTCGCTGCCAATCAATATTGGACCAAACTAATAGAGAGTTAAACTATGAAAGCTAAGGTCTTCTGAGTCAATAATTTATAATTGTTGCATTGTTCTTAAACCTGGAAATAAACCTTTGAATATATAAATATATATAGTTGCTTTGGGGGACAATTAAAAAAAATGACTTTTCAAAATCCAACAACACCAAAGCAATGATTATTGCAATTTAACTTGGTTTGTTTTAAGACGGGTTCTTTAATACAGTCGACTCCGCTTTACTAAAAACGGAAAAAATCTGGATGTTTGTTTCAGTTATCCGATGTTTTCCATTAAGCGGAGTTCGATTAACTGAAAATATTTTCAGTTATCCGAACTTCTCATAAGCGAAAAATTTTTCAGTTTTAGAAATGTAAATAATCCATATTTTTCGTGTTTTACGAATACAGAAAGAAATTAAAACTGGTTGACATGTTCATTATGTGATTTTTATTATGAACTGTCTTTTGATGCGTATTACTAAAATATGCCGCTTGTAACGAAGTCCATCGTCTGCCTGTTGCAATGCTAAGATCCTCTTTAAATATTATTTCGTCAGTAAGTAAAAAAACGTAACCCTCAATTTGAAATTTTACAGGAGAAGGTTTTGTTTTAATAAATTCAGATTTTAAGCCTGCTGAAGACCTGACTTTGCTGTAATATGCAATATGGGTTGTGATTTACTAACATACCTCCTTGCTAAATCTGTTCATAATAGATTCACATTTATACATTATTCCTATATCGTATATTCTTGAAGGCTTTAAATAATCACTTAGTTACAAGTGGAGAACCTCCTCAAAAGTTTGTCAATTTTATGGGACCTCTTATAGGCATTTCGCTTATTGAACGGTACATTCTGCAACATATTTTTATACATCCTTGATTCGTGTATATAAGTTATAGAAATGTGGAACGCTGTTTTTGAATTCCTTTCAATTTCAAAGGAAATTGCAATATTTGACTCCAAAATTTATTTCAGTTATCCACTATTTTCAGTTATGCGAAGTTTCACTTATCCGTAGTAAATTGTGGGCGACTAACTTAAAATGAAATGGTGCAGGAAATCTATTTCACTTATTCGATATTTTTAAGTTAAGCGACTTACAGTAAAGCGGAGTCGACCGTATTTATTTTTTTTTTTTGGCCCTTTATTTATTTATTTTAAGATCCTTTGTCCAGCATTCTAATAAAAAATAATGATTATACTTTCTATTTTTTTTATGTATGACCACAATTTAAATTTCTTTGAAAAAAACTTCATTCATATTGCTCCTCCTACACATTCAAAATAAACCCACAAGAAATATTCTAAAATTTTCAATGACTCAACTTGACTTCATTACGAACTTGTGTTACTTGAGTCTATTAAAAATTTATTAAATGCATTTTTTTGTTTTCTTAAAAATGTTGAAACAATCAAATATTTACTCTATTCTCCTTTATATTTTTATTAAAAATTCATGTTTATACACCCCTATTCCTTGTATGTTTCTAACATTTGTTAATATTCTCATTCTTTTCTTTTTTTTTCAGTTATATTCCTACACGACTGTGGGGTTTTAGCGGTCATGTACAAACAGTTCTACACAGTGTTGTGGGACGTGTCAAATGTCCATGGCCTTTGGGTGAACGTGTTTACCTATCCCTGGAGGATGGTTCTACGTTGACATACGATTTATATCAACCATTAAAAGAATTTGAAGGTAAGTGTACAGAAAAATACCGAAAAAATACAAATGTGAAACAATTCCCATAATGATATTGAAAAGAATGTTCTAAAGTTGCCAACGAAAACATTATCGAATATTTTACATGTTTAAAGTCATTGGAAAGGGGAATAGATATTTAATAGATACATATATATTATGGTTATTGTGTTGGAGTCGTTAAGGTGTGTAGAGTCGTTAAGGTGAATGAAATTGACTTCATTTAGAGTAAAATTTGAGGTAATAATTCTGAAAGGTTTATATTTATTATCGTATCTCTTTAATTTATTACAGAACGATATGTAGTCAAATGATGTGGTAAATTATTTCCAACTCATCAACAATCTTCTGGTCATGTAGTAGACATATAGTTTGGGGAACATGCAAAATTCGGTTTAGGATAGCGAAAACAAAACCAAATTTATTAAACGTTCAATTACATATCGATTATGCTATGTTAGAGGGTATGCTAAAGATATAAACATTCATATAATAAAATATATTTGCTATGCTATGTGATCCATAGACATAGCATCTTTGGATGACCATTGAAATGGAATCGGACGAAATTAACTGTGTGAAGTTATAGATATTTAAATTAAATTAAAACAAGCCATACACACATACTAATCTGAAATTTATAAAAATTTTAATGTTAACCATCGAGCAAAAGTATGTATAAGATCTTTAGTTATTTGATGAAATCGGATGATAATATGTATGGAAGGTATATTTAAACCTGAAACTTCTTCCATCTAATACGCTATGCAATATTTCATGTAAAGCGAATAGACATAGGCTCCTCCATTTGCACCATAAAATCGGACGAATCTATATGTGGGAGCTATATCTAAATCTGTATCGATTCCAACAAAACTTCGCGTACATCAATCTGGACCTAAGTCAGTGCTCTGTGCAAATTTTTGTCTCAATTGGAAAAATATTGGGAGTTTGGTGCACCATGTTCAAAAAAATCGGACGGAAATATATATGGAAGCTATATCTAAATCGCAAAAATTCGCGGTAGCTTTTCATTTTCGGCTTTAGTTCCAAAAAAAAACATTCTAATTACTTGTTTTTTTTTTTAATGAGACCGTTGACGAAGCCATTGAATTTAATGGGTTTTAACTTCTATTCATGAAACGGATGGTATGAGTCATGATTAATTATTTTATTTGGTTTATATACTAAAATTTAAATTCCGTCTAAGAACCACACATTTTGTTGGCAAACTTTAATTTACATAAAACCATCATAAAAACAAATAATCAAAATACAATAAAAATAAATCCTTTTTTTGTTTCTTTTTTCTCTATTTTCCCCCTTTAGATGACATCACTGTTGCTATTTGTCCTGGCATTGGCAATACCTCGGAAAGTGTTTATATACGCACATTTGTCCATTATGCACAATGTCATGGATACCGCTGTGCGGTACTTAACCACATAGGGGCCTTGAGTAGTGTACAGGTTACATCGAGTAGAATATTTACATATGGTAAGTTTTTTCAAATCAATATATTTTTTTGCAATAGAATGACTAATGGCCGGCCAGACATTTGATTGTGACCTAACTTTTGCGACCAATCAAAGTTGGTGGTGTGTTCGGTTTTATTGTGTGAGAGCATGTTTACCTTTTTAATGTGTGTTTTTTTATTACTTTCTTCTAGGACACACCGATGACTTTGCTACCATGGTTGAAAATCTATCACAAAAATATTCAAATTCACACATTGTTTGCTGCGGTTTCAGTCTTGGTGGCAATTTGGTTACAAAATATTTGGGCGAAAAACAAAGGACCAAACCATCAAATATTGTTGGTGGTATTTCCATCTGTCAAGGATACAATGCTGTTGAGTAAGTAAAAGTAAATTACTAGTTGTTGATTGATTTACCATAAGGACTTCCTATAAAGGACAGATGAAGGTTTTCATAATGAAAACTAGAGGGTCTTCTAGAAGAAGGCCAGATGTTTTTCATATAGTAGACTGGAAGGTTATCGGGTTTCAAAATGATTTCCTATGAAGTTTAGAGAGTTATTCTGATAGGGGACCAAACGGCCTTCTTATAGAGGACCAAATGGGCTTATAAAAAAAGAGCTTTTATAAGAACACTTTTTGAATATAATAAGAAATTTCGGTACTCTAAAAGAAAACCCTTTGGTCTTTTGTAAGAAGACAGCATGATCGCCTTCGGGGAGCAGAGTTGAATGCTAACGGACCCGTCCACAGGTTGAGGGAAGCCAAATACTATTCATAGGGTAGTTGTGAATAAGAAACGAGACGTGGCGAGAATGACGCCCCTAAATAACCTTTTCAAAGATTTGGTTCACTACCTCCCAAAGTGACCCCCCTAACGCTGGTATGTTATGCGATCGTGCCCATCAGCGTTCTATGGTTTGCAGTCAGGGTCCCGACTGTTTTAGAAATGAGCCTTTTTGATACCTGGGCAACTCAATAAGTTCATTCAGGCTTAGTTGCCAAGTCCTTGCCGTGGTTGACCTCAATCCCTCACTAAAAACACATTCTACGGAGCCGAATACTTGAATGAGCACAGGGACGACTCACCCTTGTCAGACGAGGAAGACTTCATGGAAACTACAGTGATTAGCACTACGGTGACAAACACGGTAGCGATCCTGGTGTCTCCTCCGAAGTAAGGTGAGTCCTACCAGATGATGAGTAGGGATGTAAACCCTAGCGAGGTTGAGGATCCGAACTCAATCTCCATGGCCTGTAGTGATCTCGCGATAATACTCAGGCAGTTGGCTGTCGAAGCGGAGACTGGTACTGATGAGACCCAAGTCGTTACGATGGATGGTACAGTAACTGCAAGGCAAGTCAACGCCAAGGAGATCGCTGCCAAGAAGCTGTACCGGAGAGCGGTTATCTACTGCAACCGATTCATCGGACGGGACAGCGATTCCATCACGGAAAAGGAGTTCCTTTTGATCAAGAGGAACCTCAAAATCATCTCCAGGAACTATCCGAATGATATTGCGAGGGACTTATTTATTCTCAGGCTGGTGCCTGAGACGTCTAAGCCCTCAGTACCCCCAAGACGTCTGAGACGTCTCAGACACCAGCATCCACGAAGACGTAAGGTAGGGGAGTGTAGAAGTCAGCCAGTCAGTCAGTCAGGAGAGCCCGTAAAAAGGCCTCCAAGAAGGCTAATAAGGTACAACCACCCTCTGTCAATACACCCCCTGCCGAATTGTGTCGAAGGAGAAAACTGCCAAGAGCGGTGCGTGTGTGGTGAAAACCAAACACGCTGTCTCGAAGCAGGTAGCCCAGAAACCTACATCGGCGCCTAGCGACTCTACTGCTCCACAGGAGATACTGGATGATCTGCGAGTAGCAATTATGGATCGAGCTGACCCTGACGGGATCATAAGCGAAGATAAATGGTTGCTAGTCGACAACTATTTGAATGACCTCTTCCTATCCGACGAAGTTGATCGACGGAAACTACGGTTTGGCCAGACCACCTTATTAAAAGGTGTCAATGTTGTTAAATGTCGAACTGAGGAGACTTCGGACTTTCTTAAGAAGACAATTAACAGCTGCGACCCTCTTTGGGAAGGTAGCAGACTGGCAGCCTTAGCGGTCCAATAGATATCAAGCGGATTAGTAACCTCTGTGTGGATCCCACCACCTTTTAAGAGACTGGAGAACACACTAAGGTTAGTGGAAAAGCAGAACGACGGCCTTCAGATGAGGAGGTGGAGAGTCCTCGCCTCATTTGAAAGGAACGGCGGTGTAATCGCAATTTTCAATTTCTGATTCTGCAGGCGAACAATATTTGAGGAAGAATAAGGGTGAGTTGTTTTATGGAGTGGGGAAACTGTTTTCGTCTCCCACCATTAAAACAATAAGCACAAAAAACACAAGCGCTAAATGTGTTGCAAATTAATCTACATCATTGTAGGGCAGCAGCTGCTGAATTGCTTCTCACCCTCTCTTCCTCGAATACTGACATCCCGCTCATCCAGGAACCGTATCTCTACAAAGATAAGGCGACTGGCTTCAATGACAAAAAATACACGGTTTTGACCGGTTACGTTATAGAAGTCCGGTATTGTTGCCAAACCTATTAAAATTCTGTTAATTTTTTACTATGAAGGCAAGAGATCTAAAAAATACCGCATAGTCAAAAATCCTTGTTTAAAAGACCAAAAACTGTTCTTATAGAAGACCAAAACGCTGCTTATGCAAAATATTTTATTAGACCAAATGATTTTCCTATAGATGTCCTATAGATGCCAATCCTGTTAAATTTCTGTTCAATTGTTTTTCCTAATTCATCGTTTATCCCATTTCAGAGGCACCAAATGGTTATTGAATTGGCAAAATTTCCGTCGTTTCTATTTGTATGTTATGACTGAAAACATGAAAAATATCATCTTAAAACATCGTCATGTTCTATTATCGGAAGAATGTCGTCAACGTCATAATTTAGTGGAACGTGATATTATTGCCGCTGCAACACTACCCGAATTAGATGAGGCTTACACGAGGCGTGTCTATAATTTTGCATCCACTCAGGAATTATACAAATGGAGTTCATCATTAAATTATTTAGATAATATCGATAAGCCAATGATTTTCATTAACGCCAAAGATGATCCGCTAGTACCTGAAGAACTTTTGGTGCCCATTAAAGAATATGCTGGTAAGTTACAGACACAGATATAGCCCATTTGTTTACAAACGACGAAAATGAATTCACTATTATTCCAATGATTCATTTAATCAATTTGTTACAACTATTTGCTTAATTTAAACATAGCCAAGCTTTCTTTTAATTTACCATTAATATTATTAAGTATTTTTGAAATAAACGCCCCTGCATGTTGACTTTAAACAGTCAAAACCTATTCCACAGAATTGACAACATAAATTAATTTTTCAAATTACTTTAAAAATGCACCGGGCATTTATAGTAAATTATCTAAGGGAGTTATGCAGGTATTTTCAGAATTTCAGTTATTACATTGTTTGAACGTTTTGCAATTCATTCTAGAAATTTATTATTTGTCAAACGAAAAAATACACGATAACAAAATTAAAAGGCTATGTATTTATTCGTCAATAATAGATATGAGTATTAACTCGAAGTTTTTTTCGGGGGAAAATTATTATTGTATTATTTTGTATCAAATTTTCCTTTCGGAATTAATATAGATACTCTCCAGAAGGAATTTTTATTAACAGCCAGAAAGTATTTTCATGAAATACATTTTTCTATAGAAGTCGTTCTTATAATGACCATTGGTTTTTATTATTAGAGACCGTTCATATAGAACACCATAAAATCGTCTTATACAAAACGTAAAGGTGATCTTATATAGACCAAAAAGTATTCTTATAAAGAATGATCTTATAGAAGAAGACATAAATATCCTGTCCCTAAAAAAATATATACATCTTACTACATGGACTACTGTCAAGTTATGTATCTTTCGTTTCATTTAATATTGTAAAACTAGCATATGCCCGCAACTTCGTTAGCGAATGTGGGAGTTTCCAATTCCAACGGAAATCTAACTCTATACTAAATTTGGTATCATTTATTTTGTACTCTTGTAATACCTATTTCGAAAAAAAATCACATTTCAAACATAGGTTCACCCAAATCCAAATTTGTTATTCCAGCTCTATCGGTTCACCCAAATCCACATTTTGTACACATTAGTACTAATTTTCAAAACTTTGTACATATACCAATCCTACACCTCAACAGTGACCCTAAGTCAAAATTTCAGGATTCCATCTATATTAATTCATCCAAAATTTAAATTGTACCAAATTTAGTACAGGTTATTACGAATTTACAAAACTTTCTACAAAGCCCAAACCTACACCCCAACAGTAATTCTAACGTCAAATTTCAAGGTTCCAGCTCAATCGGTTCACCCAAATTCACATTTGGTACCATTTAGTATAAATTTCCAAAACTTCCTACATCGGTTCACTCAAAATCTAAATTGTACCAAATTTTGTTCACATTAGTAGGATTTTCCAAAACTTTCTAAATAGCGCATTCTAGCCCCTCAACAATGCACGTAACTCCAAATGTCAAGATTCCAGCTCTATAGGTTCACGCAAATCCTAATTCGGTACCATATAGTACACGATAGTACGAATTTCCTACATCAATCCTACACCCCAACAATGATCCTAACTTAAAATTTTATTGTTCAAGCTCTGTCGGTTCACCCAAATCCAAATTGTACCTATTATAGTACGATTTAGTACTTTTACAAACGCATCCCAATCTTACACTCCGACGGTAATGTTGTTTTAAATTTTCAGGTTTCCAGCTCGATTTGTACATCCAAATATAGTACCATATACTATTCGTACACATGAGTACACGCTTTCAAACCATCTCCTTATATCGACCCTATATCCTTATATCCTAATTCGCATTCCAAATTTGAAGTTTTAAGCTCTTTCCATCCACATGCTACGAAATTGTACCAAATTTAGTATATTTTAGTACTTTTCGCATTCTTATAGTTCGAATGTCCAAAAAACCCTTTGCTATATCTATTCTACACTCCATCAGTGACCCTCATTTAAAATTTAAGAGTTCTAGCTCTACCGGTACGCCAAACACAAGTGGTATCACATTTAATACTTTTTAGTACATTTCGTACCGTTCTAATACGAATTTCCAAAAACCCAGTATTATCTGTCACCTTTGGACTAAGAGTGACCCTCACCCAAATTTTCAAAATTCTAGCTTCTAGCGTCTGGGCGTTGATGAATCGTTAAGTCAGTCAATCACTTTACTCTTTTATTAGTATAGATATAAATTCTTTAACGCCTAAAAATATGCTACAATATTTTATTACTTTTAAAAACGAAATATTTGGCTGCTGTGCTCTCACGACTTGCATTAGCCAGTTGGATGGTATGAAGCAGTCGTGGCCGAGCGGTTAAGGCGTCTGACTAGAAATCAGATTCCCTCTGGGAGCGTAGGTTCGAATCCTACCGACTGCGAATGTAAATTATTTTTTATTTATTCTTTTTTTGTAAAAAATATTAGAATATTAAGTTAAGAATATTTTTCTCAAAAATCTCTAATATCAACAGTGTTTAATATAACACTTGCTTCTATTGGACATAACTTAGTGCTGCTATCAACGGGTTGGTGCAATTATCCAATCAACTCCAAGCGCATGTTTAAGTGCAAAATATAATAACGCCTTTTGAATGAATGAGAGAAATTAACATTTGTGACAAAAACCTCCATACTTTGTATCTATACCATTTCTATTGTCTTAATTATAATTTATAATAATAAATTACATTTTGTTTTTCATTTCTTTTCAGCTTCACACTACAAGACCGCCTACATCGAATTAGCACACGGTGGTCATTTAGGTTTCTATGAAGGCGGCCTTATTTATCCAAATCCAGTTACTTGGCTAGATCGTACTTTAATAGCAATGGTTGGAGCTTTGGTTATGACACATACGGATCCCACAAAACAAACGATCTCAACAATATAAATATGAGCTTATAACAATAAACGCATCATTTATATACATTAAAATATCACCAAACACACACACACATTTGTCCCTCCCTCCCCCGCCACATTCATTTTTAGACAGACATAGCCCCCTCTCAATGAAAGAAAAACAAATTATGTAGCTTTATTTATTTTTTTTATTAAGAAAATGTTATAAAGTAAACTGTTGCCAGAGAACGAGAGATAAAGAAGTTGATGATGATTATAATGATGTGTGCGAGAGATACAAAAAACATTAGTATTTAGTTTATTTTTTTACCACTACAATAACCATTGATATTTAAAATTATAAATTTATAGGATATATACTATTAATAAAAAAACGATAATAAATTTTTGTGCTATATAGCAAAATGTATTGTATTTAAAAAATGAAACAAAAATAATTTATTTGATACTCTAAAAGAAACAAACAAAACAAAATAGGCTTTCAATACTTAATTGGAAGAGTGCGTGTGAAAAAAATGTGGAAGGGAATGTCCTCTGTTAAAGACTAATATTATATAAATGCTAAATGTGTACGTCAGACAGAAAATGCTACATACGTTCAGTTATGGATATAAACAACAAACGTTTTGTTTTGAAAAAATTAAAGAAGAACATGTAGAATTATCGTATATAATATATTATAAAATGCTCAATATACACCACTTTAGGTCCGTTGTGACGTCCTATAATTCCAACATCCATTTCCATGTCCAATTTGCCAAGTGAGTACAAAGAGCTTCTTCTACGGCTACCCTGTAAAACTGCTAATTCAATCGACGTTGAATATGTTAAAATCATCAAAAATGTTAAAACCGTCTTCGGACGGCTCACACTAGAAGGACACACTTTAAAAATGTAAACGCCCACGAGCATAGAATAGAAAAGAAACATATTTTATGGAATTCTTCGCAGAAAAAGATTTCATTACCAACCAAAAAGGATTTACTGATACTTCTAGACTGTGTCTACACATGGGTGCATGGTCATATACCTTCTACCTTAAATAGCACGTGTACTAGTTGGTGGAAACATACAAGACAAAACAAAATGTTGAAATGTTCTGGAACTCGAAACGGAAAGGACTTGAGTACTTTGTACGACTGGAAACGACTTGAGTACCTTGAATATATACCTTGTTTTTGAACCGAATTGAATAAAATTCGATATTTTGCGGTCTGTATCAATATCAATATTGGCAATAAAATATCAATTTTGGCCAATCCTTAGGTATAGGTACTTTCCTATATTCGGTATTTAAACCATTTCTTGGAGTTTTATTATGTGCAAAATCTCCCTACCAAAATTTATCAATATTGGTCCATCATTACGTATAGCCCCATATAACGATACCCACCGATTTTCGGTATTTCGAATATATTGTATACGCATTCAACCGAATTAATAATAGTTTTAGGCTCGCATCACGAAGTACATCTCTCAATCATTATTAGGTATAGCCCCATATACCTGTACCTTCAAATTTTCAGGGTTTTTTTACGGGAATTTTCTGCGTTTAAATATTTTGCGTTCCAGTATTTTTCATTAGTATTTCTATTGTCAATTATGTTAAAAAAAATCGGTATAGTTCCCGACAATTTATCATTGCATCGGAAGTTTAGGCCACACTTTCCAAAATCCTTCATTGCAGTAATTTCGAGCCTAAAACAAGAATAAATTGTGTGAATATAGAAACCCATATGAGAAAGTGAGTCGGTTGTTTTGTGGCTCTGTGACGATAGTAGTGGCTAAGGAGCACCTTTCTTCTCCCAATGGGTATCGAGTCTCTGGCGCAATTATTAATTCGTAATATTCGGATATAAAATAAATAGGAGTCCTGTTAGCTATATGAAACTATACCATTATTATTGAAATTACATATAACCAGAGTCCGATCTTAAATATATTGAACTGTTTTATTTAAATTATTTTCAATACTTTAACTTTATTTCATTTGCGAATAATAAAAAATGTTCGGCTTTACCATGTTATGTTTTATACATTATCATCTCAATATTTAATATCCGTCCTTGAAATATTAACTTGTAAACTTCATAAAAAGTAGAGGCTAACTAATTTGAAAACCAAAAAGCAATTATATTCAAAAATGTACTATTTGTATCCAGTATGTAGATTTTTCTGTGTGACTGTAACACAATCAAATACATTTTAATAGCTACAAACAAAATACGAAACCATAATAACAACAACACACAAATCATTTATTAATATAATAAATGTTAAAAAAAGAGGAGTCTCCAACAACAAAATATATTTAATATGACGAAATAATACAAAAACAAAATTTATATAAATTTTTTGAAATGTTTACAAACAAATATTACAATACAATCCCTTTTTATAAAATTAAAAAAAAAAAAAAACAATAATAATATGCAATAATTGCCGTTTTGTCGCATAAAACCCATGAAAATGTATTTATTACCACAATTTTTTATATTTTTTACAAGCAAACACAAAATAAACAAATACTAGCATTTCTTTAACGTTTTTGTTAGCAACAAATTATTTTTGTTGGGGGAATTTTGTGTAAATTTTTTGTATGATTATAATTATTTTTAGTATTGAAAATAATTATAAGTAATTAATTATAACATTTTTTGTAAGACAAAATAAAAACACTGGAAATTAATGAAGACATTTCACAGTGACCAATGCTAATCATTTAAATCCAATAATGAAGTTCCCATTCGGATTGTAATTAATTAAAAAATACATTTCAGAGGAAAAATATATATAAAGGCAGGCACAATTTGATGCATTTGTTAGATGTAAAGCCTTTAAATTGAAATTATCATATTATGGCCATAATTTAAGACAATGGGGCATCATGGTCACTTCATACATCGTTTTGTATTCAATTTTGTTCTAATTTATCTTTTATTATTTTTTTAAATTCGTCACGGCACAAATAAAAATGCAAATTATTAAAATTGTCAATATTCCGACCAAAGTAGTTAGCTATTAGTTGATACTGCCTTGTTGTATTATTTTTATGTTTTTTTGTGTTGTTAATTCAAATCAGTTGCCTTCGAAAACCAAAATATGACGCTTAAAAGTGAAAAGAACAAATTATAATCCGCTGCTAATTAATATCCAACTTATTTTGGTCGTTCCATTGACACATTACAATGTTGTTCTGTGTCTGTTGTCTATGTGTGAGTTTATACAATTTAAAAAATATATATAAGTATACATTTAAATATAGCAACTACAAAATATAATTAATAAAACAATACATTTAAGTTAATAACTTTATAAATGTAATCATCCATGAATGTGACAGAAAACTCAAAGAGCAAAATTATAAAAACAAAACAACTACAATATTTATGTATGGAATGTATTAATAAATGTTGTATGTATTTATTTGTACTATGTTAAAATATTTAACAAACAAAGGAAATAAATAAAAAAAAAACAGAAAAAATATATAAAATATTTATTACAAAAATTCGAAATGTTTATTATTATAAAAAAAGATTTTTATTTAGGTTAGGATGAATAGAGGATTGGATAATACCACCGCATGTCCAAAATGGTTAGGACATACACATAAGCCAATTGAGGCATGTTGTGTGCTCTAGAAATGAGAAAATTAGAATTAGTGAAAGTTTATTATTTATTAAAATCATTTTGGGTTTGATCCCCCTATGAATCTAGAAATTCCTTGTTTTTGAGAACTCCTTCAGTCTTCTTCATTCAGATCGGTTAGTCCGTGAAAAGTGTAATTTCTCAAGAATTATTTCCGAAGGCATGTAAAAGCTGGGCAATGACACAGGAAATGTTCCAGCGTTTCACTGTCTTCCCCACACGCTCTGCACATGCTGCTACCTTCGCATCCAATCTTTAGTAGATGTGCCTTCAGGCTGAGGTGTACCGTAAGAATACCCGTCAGTCGTTTTTTTCTTTTTGTTTAGCGTTAGGATTTGCTTAGTTTTGTCTACATTTGCGGCACCCCATAAGATTTTGGTGATCTTTACTGTCCTCTCATTTTCCCAAAGGGTCTTGTGGGTCTCATTCGCCCATTCCCTCATTTCTTGGCGTGTTTCGCTAAAGGGTTTGGCGGTATTCACATCTATTGTGGTGTGAATACTAGTTGATTTGCTATCTCGTTGCTTACGATTCCTTTGTGACTCGGTACCCATATAATTTGTACAGGTCCTTGTTGTGAGAAATCAATAATGACATTTATACATTCCAATACAAATTTGGATTTAACTGTTTTGGAAGATTTTGCCTTTATATCTTGTTTGCTATCCGTAATTATATTTATTGTATTTTGTCCTCGGTTTGAACCAGTTAAGACACTCTGTTATAGCTTGAACCTCCGCCTGTAGGCGGATTTGTTGTTGAACTCAATTTGGCGGATGAAATGGCAGATGAAAACGTTCGCACATCACAATCAGGATGTGATATACATTTAGTTGGGCATTCACATCATGAATGCAATGCAAATTTTTGCTGCTAGAATTTCATACTACTTCCATTTTTGGTGTGATGAGCCAGAAATTTGGTTCTTACAAAGAAAATGCTTTGTCGATAGGAACACTGTTTTCAATTCATCACTATCTAGTTTGAGTTGCTCTAACTTTCAAATAAAAATGGTTATAGATGAAAGGGAATACCACGCACTTTTAAAACAGTATCCTGAAGTACTTTCGCAGAACCTTAGCAAAATAGAAAACAACCATCAAATGCTGGACGGACATTCCAAAAACTGCCTTGATAACACATTTTGGCCTATTCGAATTCTTAAGAATGTCACTCATGTTATGTAACACGGCGCAGACTTTTCAACGTTTTATGGATGAAGTTGTTAGAGGCCTTGATTTCGTCGCAATATATCTGGACGATGTGCTTATTTTCTCCAAATCTAAAGAGCATTTGGAAAATATTAAGCAGCTATTGGAACTTGGTGTGAACGAAATTTATTTTTAGGTCATACTACACTGCGTATCATAACTATAGACGCACCCTTA